AGCTATTAGTTCCATTCATGAAATTCGACAAAACAATAAGAAGACGTAATTTATCTAGGGTGTGTAATGTATTCACACAAACACATTCGTAGCATTCTGAATTACATACCTACTTGCTTAACATATGTATTTAGAAGGCGATAAAACATGAAGAATCACAATTTCTGTCAACTTACGTCAAAATGCTTACACGTCACGATCACAGATTAGAGGTGTGAAAATTTGGTTAGAAAACACAGGGGGGGGAATATTATTGATGAACCTAAGTCTATGATCCAAACCTGTTTTTATATGTGTGTTTAGAGGCTCCATTGAAATCAACCTTATAATCAGTCTGTATGATGTGCTATACGATCGATGACGTTGAACACATATTACTGGGATTAACTGAATAAGTGATTGTATTTGTTCCTGCAGCCATTTAGGAATTTGTTCTTTAGCACTGATCTGCAGAAGTTTATGAGTCCTACCCAGATATATATCAATAAGTAAACACTGTGGGGTATGACACACTATAAGCACCACTACCGTGGTAAACCCTTGAACGTTTCATCTTTGGAGTTTTTTTCAATTTCCTTTTCCTATAGTTTGAAAATGCTTAAGGTGGTTCAGTGATAGAATATTTGACAGGCACTACCATGGTCTGCGTTCGATTCCTGGTGGACTCATTCCTAAAACCTGCCCAGCTTACAAGCTGGGAGTAATGCCGGAAATGAGGGAAGTTAAGACGTAAAACTAGCAGTCCTAACCCGGAAAAGTAACATCATTAACACCGCAGTTCTCTCTTGTGATATGAACCTGGACACTTACATTTCCATATAGTATTCGAATTACGTAGTAGCTAGGCATATGTGCTTCTCAAGTTTGTTGAAAAAATTTAAAGCTCTTCCATCCCTCATATTTACTGCATAATCCTATTAGACGATGGGGATTAAAGCTATTCAAGCCTTACTTCAAAAAAATACCTAATAGGATTAATGTATCGCATAAGGATAGTCAAAGCAAAGAAACCAGGCTTGTCTCATTGTATCTAATGTATCAACATCAAGTAGATAACTTATGCATCACATGTGTAGATATATATGTTTACAAATGCATCTGATATACATTTTCTTGTTGACTGCTTTCTATCCTTTTTATGTGAGATAACTGTTGCAAACAACAGTCATATAGGAGAATAAACATTGCTATAGTTTGTAAATGTAAAAGTGTCAAGAGATAACATGAAACTTTGGTTGAAAACAGCATCTTACAGATTAATATGGCCGAGAAACTTAATCTTTTTAGTTAGACTGCAGGTACACATCATTATCGTCATCAAACACGGCAAAGAATGCAGTCTAATCTCTACACTGACATGGTCAATTTTGAAAAGACCTTCGATAGCGTCAAACTTGAAGTATTCTGGAAATTTATTCAATACTAAAGAGTGCCCCAAACCTTTGTCAACCTCATTTAGAAGCTATATGATGATGCTACATGCCGAGTGATCTGGGGGAAGTCACATATTTCAAGACAAAATAGATTCAACTACAGCTGGTAGAGATAAAGATGTCGATGGTAGCCTACAGAATTCATTGGACTACCTGGATTTTCATCCGACAAAATGCATCATATTTCCTCTATTTCTGACTGTTTTAGCCGTTCAAATATGTGTTTGAATGGCAAAATGTACTCTAGCAGAATTATAATTAGCTTTTAGACTACAGTCGCGCATTTCTTGAAGGTGAAGGACAAATATAATAAGAGATCAGTCTATGTTTCAGATCGAATAGCATTATGTAACATGACATTCTATGGATTGCTATTTTACTTAGAGATCCTGGAATGCAATAAGTCACACCAAGGACTCTGCACATTGTGTAAATATTTTGTCTCGAATAAAGCTGCTACGATTATTAATAAAGAGATCGGAAAAGCAAAATACATTCATTAATCAGAAATCAGTATGGAAATTTGCTTCAGTCAGTATAAAGAAACAGATTCGGATTTTCAGCTCTAAGACAAAATTAGAGCTTCTTTACGGTTCACAGACTCTGCTCTTACATTATAGAATGCATCTCCAACAGGCTACTATGGACTATTACAATGCCTACTTTTGCTCCATACTGAAGATCAGACGGCTGGCCAGAAAGCATAAACAGTAAAGAACACTGGGAACGAACCAACCGGGAACCTGTTGTCCAGCAAATGTGTCGAAAGAAATGCCTGACGTATGCCGAAGAGACGGCTGAGTGAAGCCGTGCACTGAGCCCTCTATTGGAAGAGATCTTGTTAAGAAAAAAAATGAAAGCCTGCGGACAAACTTGGAGCCACTTAGAAAACAATAAAGAGATTAAGGTGAAATGGCTATGTATTGCTGAATCCTTTTGTTCTTCTAGGAACTGAAGGTAATAATGATAGTAATAACAATTCAAAATAGGAGACAAGCTAATATGTTAATATATTTCACCTAGTCTTTAATTTTAATTCACCTACAGGTAAATTTATAGTCCATTTGAATACACAAAATTAGTGTAACTTCAATTAACAGTTCATGCAATTTGATTAAAGTTGGCTAACAGTATTATATAAGACACGTCTTTAGCCTTTTCAGGAATTCCTTATTTGGATATACCTAAGTGACCGTGTTCCAAGTCAAACAGGAATCCAGCTGCCATCATTCAAAAGGTCAACCGATTATCAATTAGCGCAGTGGGCCATCTATTGCGACGAAACAAGCGTCTTAAATTTCGTTGCTAGCAAATATAAATAACTAATATCATAAAAACCTCAAAGTATCATCAAAACTTCCATACTAAGAGCCCACGTGTTAAAAGAAACTGAATATTTCTATCGATTATAATTATGAAATGGGAAATTAAAAAGTCTCCTTAAACAATTTATGTAATCCGGAACTAAAACAACAGGGGACATTTTCATTATCTGAACTTATCCTGAAGTTGTTCAAGCGAAAGGCGAATTCAAAACACACAAAAATACGAATATTTTCATTTAAATGGTGTTCTCTGTGTTAGGGATTTTAATTTAAAACGTTCAGCTCTCATATCAATATAAAGTCATATATGGATATTAACTCTCAAGATGTTGTCTAAAAAAGGCATTAAAAACTTCGCAATTAAACCATCCGGCCTACAGAATCCAACTTTTGATGTTAGCTGGTTAGAGGCAATTGGCAGGAAGTCTTGTACCTGGGTTTCATCCTAGTTGGCACTCGTCAGACACCAAAGGGAATCTTAAACCTTGAAGGTACTCATGTCTCTTATGAGATTCGAACCCTCATCACTCAGTGATGCAGTAAGAGACGTTACCACTGTGCTATTCGGGCTCGTTATTAACCCCCCTGTAGGACTGTACTGCATAGTTTGACTGGACACTAGTAACTAGTGTGATGTGTCTAGTCCTTTGTTTGGTGCAGACTGAGTCATATTAGTCATGCTGGCAATGTAGCTACCGAATAGCTCAGCGGTAACGTCTCTGACTGCAACACTGGGTAAAGCTGGTTTGAATCTCATATAGGAAATGAGTTCCTTTAAGGTTACAGATAAGCCTTGCACAGTGGTGAGTGGCAGCGAGCATGAAACCTATGTACAACACCCTTCCGATTGCTTCCAACCATCTAATATCATTTTTATTTTTTTTTTTATTTTTTTTATTTTGATTTACAGCTTGATTCCACACCGTATTTTCAGTACAAGTGTGGAATTTTCAGCATGGATATCGGTAGCCCAAATTCAGGCCGACCATAGATATCGGGTGTGCGCCGGCAGGGGATCGAACCCCGGACCATGTGCATGGTCGGCGAGAGTCCTAACCACTGTGCCATCGACGCACCAATGTGCACTGTGATGGCGAGCTACGTAGAATGGTGACCGCATTGCAAACCTAACTGACAGAATTCAGTCTACACCAAGGAAAGGACTAGACACATCACACTAATTGCTAGTGTCCAATGAAAGAATTCAACTATATCAAATATCATCCACTCGAAGTATGTCACTTTTAAAACGAATGTATTCCTTTGTGAATTTTGAAATCATTTTTACTTATACATCAAACACATACAGTAGTTTCTTTTTATAGTTTAAAAATTTGGAAAAATAGTTTGTTAGGTCTTATGCAGTCAGTTTGGGTAATACAATAAAAAATAATATATCCTACAATTAGGATAAGGAATTCGAAAAAATTGAAAGAGCTTCATCAGTTATTTGTAACTTGATACTATTTAATACGATGGAATTTCACTCAGTAACTGCTTGAACTTTCATACAGTTGACAATGAACCATGCTTATTGCGTAAGGGCTATCCGTCTACACCTCAGTAGATGAAGCAAGGTTCAATCGGATAGACTCTAACAGGTAATTTTAACAACGAATCATTCAGGAACCAATCGCCCAACAAATATGTAGGAGAAAATGGAGATAGATATGACACAACTCCGAGGATATCGTTGAGTGACATAAAATGGTAGACCGTCAAGTGTAACTTGAAAGGGAAACGACGAGTTGGGCGTCTGTTCAAAGGTTATACTAAGTAAGTCGTAAGAAGAGAAGATAAAAGCCTGTGGCCAGTCATGGAGCCAGCCTTGTAGAACAAGATGAAAAGCAGATGTGATGCTGAACTCACTGGGAAGGAATATTATTATTAAATTGCTGCAATTAAATGTCTTAATTGTCTGATGACTACAAAACTGTTGCAGTCATAGTGAAAACCCGTGGCTGATAATGATTTACAAATGTGAAGAAGCTGGTATTACTTGGTAACTTCAATCTTGATGATTTCTTTCATGTTAACCAGCTTAAGTTTAGGATAACACAATTTGGATCCTCTCGATATTAAATATAATGGTTCACCTAATTTCATAAATAACTACCATTCAACCTGCCTCTTCTTCTTTTTCTGCAGTGTTTACCGGATAACCAGATTACACGAAAAGCTTGTTAAATATAGATTACTTAAATACACTAGTAATAAATTCTTTTTCTAAAATTCAACTCACCAATATCTGAACCATCAACTTCAGAGAGACCGATAACATACCAAATACATGCACACCAGTGGGCTACCAATGCAAAGCTGAACATTAATAATCCTAAGACAATTACACTATATTGTGATAATCGGGTAATTTTTTGAATTAAACGAGCCAAACGTAATAATCTTGCAAGTTTCATCATTTGTAGTAATGATATCTGCAAATGAATTTTAAAAAATAATAATCAAAACTAATTATTTATGAAGGCATCTTACAATCATTAGGCAAGAAACATTCGTTGCAGAGAGTGATATTTCATATCAGAACATCACTACTCAGTAACCTTTACGTGTGTTTCTCAGTCCACCCCCTGGCTATGCAACTGCGCATATCAATCGTCCCTCACTGGTTTTTAATAAAACACTTTCGGGTGGATGTGGAGCTGTAACAGATGGGATAAGTGAACATTTAATAGACATGTCATCTTCTTTCCACAATCTCTTTCTACCTAGAAGGTAAAAAATAACTTCTCGGAATCATTATATATCTGTTTCAGGAAAACAGAGAAGTCAGAGATTTATATACAACAGAACCGTATTTCATCATTTCTGCCTTCATAGAGTGTCGTAGGACATTTATTTTAAATTATAAACATAACAAATAAATCTATCTGCTTATTAAACAGTACAGAGTATCCTTTTTTGTTTCCGTAGTCTTTTTTTTCAGCAATAATTTGTTCCTTAAGCATTTTTTTGTACTATTAAACATTTCATTATTCATACAATCCGTCTTTGTTATACCTCTATCTTATCTTGATTAACAGTCACTAATCTTAACAGTTTGCATTAATTCTTTTACTGAAAAATGTATTTAAATGTAAAATTAACGGACAAATTTATGAAAATAAAAATTGTACACCACTGTTACTATACAGCTAAAGCCAATAAAGTGACAAGAAACTGGGTTTCTTTATTAATTGAATCATGTGTTTTCTTTTTCTTTAGGAATTATATCTAAATTCTGTTTATTTATTAAAATACTTTTAAAAAAGTGAGGAAATGAATTAATAAGCGAACCAATCTATCATTGACACAAGATTTATTGCAATGATATTATTATTAGTCCATCGCAATGCAATCAGATTCTTAGCACATCACAAAAATCATTTCTACCAGCCAGCTAACTGACTGTCGCACAACTAATTGCTCATTTTACTTCGGTCACAAATTGGCATCATACTTGTTTGACGCTTATAAGCGTCTTATATCCTAACCTTATATTTTTGTTGTTGAATTTAACCCTCCAAAGCACTAACAGTATTTATTGTCAAAACATTTTTAAGGGCATTTTGGCACATATCCAGTGTTTCTGGTACTGGTAATTATCAACTGTTACGGTTCACTAGAGTGCTCTAAATATTATGAAGATTTGTAGCCCAAGAGGATGATTTTAGTGCACTTGTGTTCTCTGGGCTGCATGGTTTACTTGTGAAGCTTTCATTTTCCTACTAGACAGAATACTCAGCGCATACTTCAATTCGAAGTGAGCTTTTTATATTTCTATACGAGTTTATTGGTTATCTCTTCTGGTAAACTTGAGCCTAATTGGTTGTTTTTGTGCTTTTCTTTAGCTCAGAGAACACAGCTACACCATTAGAATACTCAGTTTCGTAAATGCGATTTATTACTGTTGAAGAAGACTAAGATATTCCCAACCTAGAAGATTGATAAACCTAATCAATTTTTCACTGAAGCTGGAACTGGAAGACTCACAAAGGCTAAATGCTAACCATATATCTGTTCAGTAGCCAGTGAATATCGTGGAGAGGTAAATGAGTGTTTATAAGGTCGACTGTTCTGCTATCGACGGCAGAAGCTTTTGTTATACGCAAGCTAGCCCTGAACTGCATATAGAAAGATAGTTTATTCAACCCCTTTTACTACCGAAACCTCAAACTCTTGTTCCTTTTCTAGGTCTGATCACAGATTGATATCAGTTAGTGAACCAATGAAAACTAGGGAGTACTGGATAGGTGTTTCGTTCTAGCTTGAGACTCGTTAGCAGTACGTATCCATTGGGGTTCGAACCCATATAGTAAGTTGGTACGTTATCAATATTTATCAGGTTTTTTACTGAAATTCAATCCATTCATACTCCTTACTTTAAAATATACTCTGTAAATATACTAAACCTGATACTCTTTTGAACGATGTTCATGTTTCAAAGCACTTGGAGTTTTGACAAAGGTTCTCACTACTTACTGACTCTAGATTACATAACGTATTATCTCTATTAACATGCGATTTCATATCTTTTGTTTCAAACTCAAATGAACGGTTGAGCCTATAGATAGTTCTCTGACTTGTGACATTCCCATCATCAACACTTAGTTGCACATGGTCGATTCATTTAATAAGGAACAAAGGTTCATACAAAATATACCACCAAAAATAATAATTGAAAGTTAGATAAGTGATATATATATGTTCTTACCAAATTAAATTTCATAAAAGCTTTTGAATCGTAATATTTGTTTCCGTCGAATGACGAAATAATCTCATGTGTATAATTTGATATTATGGTCGAATTATCTATTTGTTTCCCTCTTGAATTAATATACACATCTTCCAAATTTATAAGTGAAGAAGACTGAATAAAAATCAATATAAAATCAACTGGTAGAGCGGCTAGCAAATCCAGGATCAACCATCCTTTAGCATAATGCTTTGCAATTAACTTGCGATCATTTATAATTTGACCACTTTTACTAACATAGGTTGTATGAAAATTTAAAATAACATCTATAAAATTTCGAAAAAAAACGCAGAGATAATTAAAGCAGATCTTCATTGGAATCAAGTTTTGAAATTTTTTTAAAAGGGGGTTAATGGAATTAACTGTCAAGCAAATTTCTCAGTGAGAATGTTTCGTGCAGAAATAAGTGTATGATATTTACTACACTATTACTTGTGAATCACTTAATATAAAGTAAAATGCAGTTACTTATACGTTGAATGATCTGAAGATTCTGTGCGTAAGCAAGTGAAGCATATTTTCAGGACTAGTAACGAACTGAATTCACCTGGAGAGCAACTGAATGTCCTATTCGTTGCATTCAGAGTTTCTTCAGCGCCTATGACTGTATCAGGGACCGAATTGACAACCATCAGCTTAAGTAATGAGCTCGTTGAAAATTTAGCCATTGAGATGGAATCCAATCGCCCATCACTTATAACTTCTGCCCACTCAGGATATATAGTTCGACAGCCAGCCAATGTCATCGGCTAGTACTTATCCTCACACCCAACTTGGTGGAGGGCGCTGGCCACAACTTCACACTAGAACCCCAGACAACTTCAGCCTGAACTCAGTTGATAGCGAGCACTGGAATAATCAGTCTTAAAATCAATTAAATCTGTACAAACCAACACTTGGAAGTGTACTTTCAAGATTTCTAGAAGAATATAAGTGATAAATAATTCTGGTTTTTCATTCTCCATATCTGTTTGCAACTATATTCAAACTAGCAAAAGTTACTTGCCCCATTCTGATGTAGCAAATTTTGTCAAGTATGCTGACGACCTCTCTGTCTCCATGCCTGTCAACTCTCAGTCATACTGTTCCATATTAAATAACTTTTTCTCGGGAATTAGTCAGTGGTCCTCTTCAAACGGTCTTAAGCTGAATCCGTCTGAATGTCAGGTAGTAAATTTTACTTTCAGACGAAAAAGTGACCTTCAACAACTAGCTAGCTCACATGGTCCCACTATCATTGACGGCATAGAGGTTGAAATTACATCTAATGTCAAGTACCTTGGACTGAGTATTTCCTCCGATATTTCCTGGTCCTCTCACATCTTGCTAGTTACTAGAAAGATGTTTCGCTTAACGTTCTACGTTAGGAAGTTTAGGCAGTCTGGTATAAAGCAGTCTTTGCTTTCTCAGTTTGTCAATTCCTGTATTCTACCCATCCCTCTTTACTGCTCCCCATTAATCTTTCCTGGACTACTTAAGAAAGACTTTGCTTCGCCGCATAGGGCACCAAAAGCTGTTAGTAGGGCAAGTGGGACTTCGTTAAACCAACTGGTTAACACCATTTTGGATAGACATATAATGTCATGTAAGAAACTAGCGAATTCTATATTGTCTGACCCCAAACACCCTCTCTATACGCACCTCTCTCCTTGCATTTCATCTGGTAGAACTAGAAGCAACTATAGGAGACTATATGCCAGGACTACCAAGTGTAAAAACTCCAAAATACCTTATCTGGCACAGCTGTTATGTGATGAGAAAACTGTTAGGCATGACACGATCACCTTACTGCGGCACTCTAACAAATAGTTCCCATTAGCTTTTGTTCTCCTTTCTTTGTTACTATTATATTGTTGCTCACATATTCTATTACACATTAATTTTATATTTCATGTCCTGTGGTGCATTGTTTAAATATGTGAATGCAATGCTGTTCTTTTTTATTTCTTTTATTTCTCTTTTTTCTTTTTGTTGTTGTTGCTTTATATTTTTAAATCCTTATAAAATTTATGAGGTAATTACATGCAATATTGTAATGAACGCTGAAAATTCCATACCTGTACCACAAATACTGTTTGGAATAGAGCTATTATTATTATTATGAAATAAATTTTTGTTTTCTTTCAGTCTTAATAGAAGGAAGTTGGGCCTTCTTTTTTCAGGGATGTGAGAGTACCTCAGCCATTGGCACAATCAATGATGCGAACTCCGAACTGTTCATTTACGTGGTGTGCTTAAATCATTGAGCTACATAACATTTACTTCATTTCGTGTTCTTGTGATGGTCTACTTACGTCGTTGAATTACATACTGTACCTATCTTCTTTTCAAGTGGGTTTTAAACCACTGCCAGACATTTCCAATGGAAATGAAGAGAAGAAATATGGCCAGGAACTGGAGTGTTTTTCAGACTTAACAATATTGCTGCTAACCATTATTTTGTTACTTGGGGTTCAACACATGGGGTAAATACATTTTAGTGAAACATGCTGAGAATTCTACAATGCATATAAATGCATTTTTATCACGACAGTATTACTATTGAATAAACATAGTATTGTATAAATATGACTTGTGTTCACTGGCCTTTAACTAGTAGTATATACACTTGTCTGGTGAACACAAGATAATATTCAGATCAATATAACATGGCATTAATCAATGTCTGATAACTACTGCGTGAATCACATGTGGCATTCAACTTCTGTCTGATGGTATCTGTTATAATTTCATAATGTATCCGTGATAGTTTATTTAGTATCCAGTTATTTTATGTACCACATATTTACTGATGATAATTTGACAACAGTTAACGGCCCATAACCATATCAACATGCACGGGTAAGGATGTTAAAGGAAGGATCTGTAATGCAAGGCAGACCTTCGTTATTGTGAAATCAGTGTGGAAATCTGCTCCACTCAAAATAAAGAACAAGATTCAGTTGCTTAACATTAGTGTCAAGTCAGTTAGCGCTTGTATATGTTTCAGTGATTTGAAGCACTTGCTGACAAAGGCATTTCTAACAGGCTGCAGTTATTTATCAACAGTTGCCTTCGCACCATACTGATGATCAGATGAACAGTCAGACAGGACTATGGAAGGAAACCAACCAAGAACGTATTTACCGACAAGTATGCAGAAGAAAATTGACATGGACTGGTCACATACTGAGGAGACCATTAGGCGACAACACACACCAGATCCTGAAATGGAACCGGAATGGGAGGCGACAAGTTAGGCTTCAGTTCGATGATGACATGTAACAGATCGTGTGAGTAGGAGATGGAAGCTTATGGCCAGTTTTGGAGCCTACAGAAAAGGACTACAGAAAACGGGATGCTTCGATTGAACACTAGTAACTAGTGTCATGTGTCTAGTCCTTTCTTTGGTGCAGACTGAATTCTATCAGTCAGGTTCGGAATATGGCCACCATTCTAGGCAGCTCACCATAACGGTGCACATTGGTTTGATGATATTAGATGGTCGGAAGCAATCGGTAGGAAGCCTTGCTTGACTTAGTTGCATACCTGAAGGATAAAATTCAGTCCGCAGCAAACAAATGACCACACACACCACCCTAGTTACTGGCTAGTGTCCAATCAAAGTATCCTACAGGAGGTCAATGACAATAGCCTGAATACCTCAGTGGTAACGTCTCTTACTGCAGCCCTGGGTGACCTGGATTCGAATCCCAGAGGGGTGGGATATGAGTTCTTTCAAGGTTGCAAATATGCCTTGCTGACTGGTGAATGGGAGCTAGCACGAAACCTAGGTGCAAGACTTCCTGCCGATTGTCTCCATTTATCTAGTATCATCAAATCAATGACAACAGGATGAAATGGCAACGTGCTATCGAAACTTATGTTCCGCTCGAAAGCGAAGGGAATAATAATTACCACATCAACAGAATAGAATAACATTCTGGCATACATACCTTTGGTACTATTAGATTTTTCTCTGTTTTCAAATATTTACCAACGGAGTTAAGTCAGTTCTGTTGTTCACGTGCTATATTCTACGATATTGTTACTTAATGAATGCACACCATCGGCTAAGATTCCTCAGATTGCTTGAAATTTAGGTGACAGCCTGCTGTTTGACAAAAAAACATCCCTCTGATTAATTGACTGATTTCACCCTTGGGCTGTGCGTTGGTGGTACAGCGGTTCGGACGCTCGCCGACCATGCACATGGTCCGGGGTTCGATCCCCGGCCGACGCACTCCTTTACCTCGCTAAGCCAGAAATAATGCTGGTGAAGAGAAAAGGTTGGGCATGAGGCTAGCAACCCCATCCTGTAAAAGTAAACACTGATACAGAAACTTCAAGCCTCTAGTTCGGAGCCCTATGTTCCACTGGGAACGGGAAACAAAACCTATGGGCTGTGATCGCACAATATATGAAAGACTATTACATTCTTTCATCCACTTAGATGGAATGTTCTAAAGATCATGTCTGATAGACTGATATGCTAAAAGTTTACCTTATTATTAGCCTTATCAAAAATTAGCCTTATTATAAATTTAATTTCACTCTTCTAATGGGAAGAATAAGAAAGTTAAAAGATTTCATTGTATTCGTACGCTGGTGAATACACTTTCATAAATGATATCATATTACTGTGTACCGTATCAAATAAGTGAAAATTTTAAAGAATGTTTAGGATATTTTGAATAATAGACCAACTCGGGTTGAGATTGTCTGGAAGTATAAATCTGTCATATACATCAGTTAATATTACTAATTATTTTAGGTAAGTTTTCGTCAAACTGCTGTCTGGTTACACCCAGCTTTATCATGATACAGCAACGTGCCTGACATAACTTGTTCATGCAGTCATCGTAGACTCTGTTCGAAATACAAACTTCGCATCAAACAAAATCTCATCATGAAGATAATGTATCTTTCTCTGTTCAAATTATGGTCCGGATTTTCACTATGCTAGCCGGGTATTGCCAAAACGGTGTTCATGTATATGTTGTATGATTCGTTAGGATTATTACAATAAAAGAAGACACTGCTTGTTCCTGATGTTATGATACAAAATGACCGCCCCAATCAAAATTCAAATAAAAAAATTGATACTTTGTGCTACTTCGTGTGAAAAAAGGTAGGAACACTTCACATTTGTATTGACAGGAATTAGTATAGAATACTTTTCAGAATGTAAGTGAATAAATCAACTAGCGAGCAGAATTTAGAGAAATACCCAAAGTTATGAATCTCTCTGTCACTTTGGAATGCCCTGGGGCTTAACCATAATCGAAGTTTGTTAAGATATGTTGAAAAATACATCACACAATTTAAATTAACTATATATTCGATTTCCCAGCTTGAAAATGGGTCGCTGGATTTATTAAAAGAATGTTTGAATACACAGAATCGGAACTAAAGACTATGATGACGCCTGATGCATGTGATTAAGAAGCTTTCCTAAGATGTATTATTTATTTAGACAGCATATGTGTTAGGTTGCACCAGTATTACATTATTATTATTATTATTAATGTGGCGCAACTTCATTATATTGAGTTATTCATCATTAATCCAGCTGGATATAACACTGTCCACACACTTACATTTCCCTGATGTCACCCTTTGAAACTGCGGCTGTCACCCTCTTCTTTGACTTCATTTAAATGCTTGACTTCCTTATGGCGTCACTCAAAAGTTTTCCCAGTGTATATCCAGTCCATCTCCATTTTTTCGCTATATTTGTTGAGCGATAAGTTGCTGACTGGTTGTTTCGTATAGTTCCTTGCTGCTATTCCTACTTGGTCATATGATCCTCAATATCGAACGAAAGGAGCTATTGATGAAAGCCAGCAGGATATTGGAAATGTTTTTTTGACAACAGCGAGTCTTTGGATCATAAAGAAGCACTGGGTGATTTGGTATTAGATCTGGAAATTAGAATCTTTGCATTTGTATGAAGTGTTTTAGGTCTTCATACTAATTTCAGTGCAGTGAACTTCGAAGTAAGTTGTTTCCCAGACGCTAGCTTGAAAAAGGGATTCTTTTAAAGTTAGTTTAGTATTATGTTTGACTTTCCAGGTTGAGGCTAGATCGCCGCTAAAATAAGTCTCTCTTCACTAAAATACTTTTCACTGGTCAAAAGTCATTTACAAAAGGGTTTATATCCGCAGGAAAGGAGTCCAAAAAGCCTAGAGATAATGATGAAATAAAAACAGTGATTAGGAAGCTCTTTTCACACATGTTATTCATCTAGATAGCCGGCTTTTCAGATCACACTAATATTACATTACTCCTGAAATCTGCGTCGTTGGCACAGCTGTAGAATACCTGCCAACCACGCAGGTGGTTCAGGGTTCGATCCTTGGCCAACGCAATCCTTTACCTCGCTAAGCCAGCGGTAAGACTGGTAAATAGGAAAGGTCGGGTATAAGGCTAGCAACCCCATCTCGTAACAAATGAAATCACTGCTACTGAAACTTCCAAGCTCTAGCTTGAAGTCCTATTTTCCACTAGGAACGTAAAGGAATACAAAAAAACATACCTCTCATTTCATCATTATCATCAAATTAAAGGAAACCAAAACTCATTACAACTTACCAATAATTAAAAAGATCTCAACAATCAAGTCAATAATACTGCATCGACTTGAATGAGTTGAATGACTTTCAAATGTTACATTATATGGTACAATGAATGCAATATAAAAGGTTAACAATAACAGTAACCAATCCCAGACAATACGAAATAGGCCATAATGCAGTAAAACAAAATTGGATTTTGTCAGCTTTTGTATTTTGTACTCTGGTACATTTTTACCGCTGAAATTTTTAATTTGCTGTATTGGAGAAGTAAGAAAGTAAAAATAAGAAACGGAAAAAAATGAAATTCATAGGAAACTTTAAAAGTGAATAATCTTCAAAATAGTTGAATTATTAGAATACAAAAAATTAAATTTTGCTTACTACCTAACTTCATTTAGAGAACCACGAGGAAACAGATAGTTCTGGGCAGGCATTTTGATCTAATTTAGGACTCTTCATCGGTACTCACTCATTACCTTATCGGAGACTGAATCATGGGATCACCAGTTACAAGTTGAGCTTGCTGACCATTTAGCCACTGTGATGGAATCCAGTGACCCGTGAGCTCTAACTTCTACTTATTCTCCATCTATAGCTCAAGAGCCAGCAAATGCCCTCCGCGTGTACTGTCATCATACCCAACTTGGTAGACACCCACTAGCCACGACTTCTCACCAGAAACTCATGGAACTTCATTTTGTAGTCAGTCGCCAGTGGGCACTAGATTAATTTTCAAGACTTGACTTGCAAGTATTTGACGGATAGACCAAAATAATGTCAGTTCATTATCAAACTTGGAATCATTTCAAATCAATGCGAACCAACAGTTTTCAGCGATGAGTGATAGAAAATATTTCTTCCCGAAGGACTCAATATCAAGGTATGCTGAATAATTTGAAAATAGCTTTAACCGTCCTTTCTTGTGATAATCCTCATAAAAACGAATCTAGCATTACTTCTCCTTGACCTGATTGTTAGAGTCTATTCATCTCTGACTAACTTATGATTCATTGAGCTGTTGATGCAGTGCTACTGCAATGTAACCGTCCATATGGGCCACTCCATTGATTTTGTTGTTCGCAGTCAGCCATTTCAACCTTGCTTAATCTATTTGAAAGCTACCTACTGCCAAGGTACTGTAGCGTTAGTAAGAATTTTAACGTAGACACATAAACCTAGACTCACGACCATTAGGATGCAGCAAATTGGGTGTGAGGACAAATACTCACCGAAGACATTGGTTAGCAGTCGCGCTATGTTGTGAATTGGCAGAATTTATAAATCATGGGCTGGCAATTGGTTCGAGTCCCAGTGGCTTAGTGGTCTACGAGCTCGCCTTGTAACCAGAAGGTCCTGGGTTCGAACCCCTGATGAAGAGTCCCGAACTAGGACAAAATAGCTCTCCAGTACTCCCAGGTTTTTCAGTGGTTCTCTAACCAATGTCAGCTCATGATGAAATCCTGAAACTCAAACAAGATTTAAGAGTTTGAAATTTTCTAATAGCCTGAATTAAAAGTCGCTAGGAACGAAGACTATTCCTTTCAATAAATTCGCTTCAGGTTCTTACTGCTCATTTACATTTACTTATTTGGTTCAGAAAGGGTGAAAGCAAATTCATACAAAGTTCACTTCTGTTACAATTGGTGGATACAGGACACTCTGTTGCCATTAATATAGCCTTTAGGGTTAGATACTATATTCCGAAGTCATTATCACGCATAGTCTCCTTACACCTTCCACATATAGTTGAAACTGTTGTAATAAGATCAACTAAACTGAGACTTTATATTCAAAATTACATGTTCAGGAGTTGTTTTCGCTGTGACCAAACTTGAATTAAAATCTCTTCTACCCATCAAGAGTGCCTTTTATGTTTCTCGTCTTGTTTATATTCTTCATTCTAGTACTCTTTCAATACTGTCAAATTTTCATGTTAAACCACTCGCCAAACTCTATCTTCTCTTTGATGCATACTATTTTGTACTATCCACTCACCTAGCAGCATTTTACAACCTTGAACTGACTTGTCAATTTCCGCTCCCCAAAATGTACAAATATATTATGATGAATCCCCATCATCGCCTCGGGTTTCACAATAGTTCATAATTTCATTCAACCCCGTCTATTTGTCACACCATAACTATGTAAACATGTGTCTGCCACTTAGATGTTTATTATTTTATAAATGTAAAACAACTTGAAATCGTCGGTGGTATAGCGGTTAGGACTCTCGCCGACCATGCACATGGTCCCGGATTCGATCCCCGGCCAACTCACTCCTTACCTAGCTGAGCCAGAAATAATTCTGTTGAAGAGGAAAGGTTGGGCATGAGGCTAGCAACCCCATCTTGTATAATAAACACTGCTTCAGAAACTTCAAGCCACTAGCTTGAAGCCCTATGTTCCACTGGGGTCGTGAAGGGAAAAAACAACTTGAAGAGAATTCATTGAAGAATATCCTTCGTTCTGACAGACTTTCAACTTAAATTATCCATTGTTATGTGATCTTATTCCTCAATATCGACTCACGACAGGAACTATTTTTAAGGGAATTACTCCACATTTCTGGGAGATTTTATTTTAATCAGAAATGAGGTTTGATCCCCATGACACTTAGTTAAAAAGTTAAACTGAATCAACAGTTCAATGAGTGAATATTCCATTCATCGTTTCAAGATTTACAATTCCTCTACATCGTCTAGTCTGATATGTGGGTGTCTTCAAGATTAGAAGCAGCCAATTTCGGATTACCAGTCCAGCACTCTGCAAACTGAGCTACAAAGCGAGCTAATGGAGAATCAGCACATTTCACTTTTAATCACTGCTCCAGTAATTACATCAGCAGTCTACCAGTTAAGATTATAATAAATAATATAAATATCACTTCATATGATATCTAAGAACCTAAAGACTACCCTTTCAAATTTACAAATATAACTGTTATCCAACTTCCTTTATAAGACCATAAGTCTTTATGTAGGTAATCAGATTTTGTCAGTCCTGAGATCTTGTAATTCACTGGTATGGAGATTTGGAATGCTCAGTATCATCCTCAAAACACTCGCATATGTAGTCTGTTTCAGATGGTATAACATGTTTATCCAGTAATATGATCGACTTAGATTGGTTGTAAGCGTGATGAGGTAAATATTAGGCACAATAGCAAGCCGTTTCTGAGTAAACTTGGGGAATTTATGGTATTACGTATCTCTATGTCCTTGCTGTACATTAATGAGGTCTAAAACAGGGAATTCAGTCGAAGTCTCAGCCTTCTTATGCTCTTCATAATTCACCAGCTTTTCACATAAGACTGCTGGTCTTTTTTGTGTATCTTCACTCAATGTAGCTAATTCACTATATTTAAAGAGTGACCAAGAATAGGTTGAACTATTTCCATTTCTTTGATAAAACGTGCCGAACTCACTGACAAATAAATGCATTACATAGTACAATTATGAACCTTCCAAGTAAGAAATACTAGCATCAGACTGACTTCTTTTGGGTGATGTAGTGCTCATTAGAAACTCATTAGCTTTGCGTTCTAAACAAGTGTACCAACAATGGCTCTTTGAATAGGGTCGAAACCTCTGAATAAGGAACTTCAGTAACAGTGACCAACTAAACTCTCAGAAAACATAAACGTCTATTGAAAGATTGTATCCTTTTAAATGCAGAAGGCAATAAAGTCGAGATTAATATAATCTGTGTGAGACTTACCCTATTGAGCTTGCCTGAATTACTATCTTTAGTTTTCCATCCACCAGAGGTCAACCCATGTATTACAGCGTATGATTTTCGACGTTTATATGAATATTTCTGAGGATCTGGTTCATTCGATCCCGGAGAAGTACTTCCGCCTATATTTGATTGACTGTCTGATATACTTCCTGAAAAGCATGTGAGACAATTAAAACTTGTATGGTGATTATTATCAATTGAATCGGAAACCAGCTGATCTGTTTTGTTATTTGTATTTGTCACAAAAGCACTTTTTGTTTCACTGGAGAATACAGACTCATTTTGGTGGTATTGTTCTTTACAAGGTTGGTCAATATTTGATGGATTATTTTCATCTGGTAAAGGCACAGTATTAGCATTTTTCCAGATTCCATTCTTTGCATTATTCTGAAAAAATGAGTAAATAAAAAGAAAGGAAATATGGTACACAAATTATTCGTTTCTTCAGACAGGTATCATAATCTCTTGGGCACAGTGAATGCATAACCTGTGATCTGGGATTAAAAACTTTTATCCTGCTCTTCTGAATTAATACTAGGTGAGTTGGGATAAGGTTTTTGGTACGTCTGTTTCTTTTGACAATGGTGGTTGGTGGAAGGCATAATACAAGGTTTCATTGGAGAAAACCTCTATAGAATACTAGTATCATGATGGTGAATGGTGAAATTTCACTTACATGTGTGACTGTTAAGATTAACTCTCTCTTTGTGTTACTATGTCTGTTATAAGATGTAAGCAACACTTTGGATCAATTGTTTTGAGCGAATAATTTCACCTACAATTCAAACGCCTATATGATATCGATCGTAGTAACCCATTTGAATACACTTTGGCACTTGTAGCGACTGGTGCTGAGTTTGATTGCTACTCAGTCAAATTTAGTTATATCCAGCTGACAAGTCTCGAATAGGAGGAAATTCCCATCTTGAATCGCACTGCTAGCTACTACCAACCAAATAAAAAGACTTTGACAGTTGAAATTATATATAGGCATACATATATAATAAACACTGATAGAAACTTAGGTAATTTTAAACAAAGAAGTCAGTGATGTTACATAACCAGAGAGATTACGTCCCTTTTAACTAAGAAAAAATGTGGATAAATAATACGAATAGAAGTTAAAGCAGGATAGAAGCTAGGTGAGTTAAAACTGCTTTTAATGACGAAGAAAACGGCGTTTTTTCATGTCACGTATATCATGTCAGATTTTGCCATAAAATGAAATCAGTCAGGGTGGGTGCACTGTAAAGCTGTTGGGTCCTAGTGTAAAAGTTTTTAACTCTGATCGTTTACTACCCAACAAAGTATCAAACCTATGACTCTCAACTTATAAGGCTAAGAAGTTTCTACTTAGCTAACGGCGTGGAATCAATTAGTCTATCAATTCTAAATCCTATCAGCTTCCAAACTAGAGGCCACTACAACCCAGCTATTCCTTATACTCTACTGGTTTAACCGAGCTGATCTTGATTTATCATTAGGACTTCGAGGAACATATCACAAATCTACAGATGTCGCCATTTCTTGACCAGACTTACTATTTTTAAAAAAAATATAATTCTTCACAAATGCATAAGTGTAAAAATAATTCGAATTGCCTAAATTTATTTATTTTTTTTCTATAGACATTTCAATTAACTGTTAAACCATCCTTAAAGAAATTAAGCAACATTTAATCCGAATTACACAACACAATGAAATTCTCTGTCGAAAAACATCAATTGTCTAGACAAATTAGGTGTGATCTGGGAAAGATTAAAGCGAATTCCACTTGCTTGCCTAATTATCCTACATTAAATAAGAAATGAATTCAGAGAAAAAAAAGTGTGATTAGAAAAGAGAAAAACTGAAAGAATTTAGATACGAAAAAGTGTTGCTTCAGGAAATGTCAGTTAAAACAAGAAGGGATAAAATGAATTCTTTTTTTATTCAATGATTAGTTAAGTCACAATAGAATAAAAAACAGGTTATGTTGAATAAATAATAATTAGAAAGGCAAAACAAAAGAATTTTAAGTGTCACTGAATATTGATGACAATGTCAACTCCTTTTGATAAAATCCCCATATAATTGAAAACTTTGACTACTGTAGTTCAAGTTAGTGTCAAGCGCATTAATCAAAGTGACTGAACATCTCAGTATTCTAACTGAGTAGAATAATCGCCTTCTTTGATGAGCTAGAAGACAATGGAATTGAATCAATAATACTTAAAATCACATTAAATCTGCAATTAATAGTGTTCTCTTAGCTGGTTGGTTTAATCGCGGAGCTTTCGTCATCCTTCTGGACAACATCTTCAGCGCAATATTTAGCATAAAGTGAAATGATTTAAATTTCTTCATGTGTGATATAATTGCGTCTCCCGGTAACTATCTTTACATATGTATTGACCATTTTCTATTGACTTGGATTTTAAACTTTCTGGTCACCTGATTTACTTTTTATTAGTTGGTATATTTCGTCTGTATTAATGTGCTTGTTAACTGCATTTTCGTTTGAGTACCAGGCTTCTAGGAATTCCCTGACTGCACTTTTGGTGTTTCCTCTGTCTAAGATTTTGACATTATCCCAATCAAATTGATGACCATAATTGTCTGTATGCATTGATACTAAAGAATACATATCGTGTCTTTTCACGGCTGATTTGTGTTCTTGGATTCTGATTCGAAGGGGACGCCCACTTTGGCCGATGTAATGCTTGTTTCAGTTCATACAATTTATTTTGTGAAAGGTATTAATTTTATCCCCTTTTTCTGTTGGATCTTTCGGTTTGCATAATATCGAATTAAGCGATTTGACTGAGCTACAAATCTTCCTTATTATTTCACATTAAATCTACTACACAACAGAACCTGAATTTGCCTGCCACATTTTTGGTTACTGAAGTTGACAGAATAAATGCAAGAATTTCCAAGATGTTGGTGCATAAAAGTCAATCTACAAGTAGCAGACACTTAACTGCCACAACAGTGTGGTAGTAGCACACAAACTAGCAGTGCACGAAATTTTTTTTAGATGAATCGTATGGACAATGCAACACACCATATTGGTCAAAGCGGCTATACTTATTAATTTCACCTTCACAGATATAACTTAGGGACAAAAAGACACTGTTTTTCATATCAGCGTCAGTGGACAACTACAAACAGGAATGTATCTGGGGGAATATGTAAGTTTTAGACTGAAGAAGTAAAAGCATTGGAAAGTTAAAACAAAAGAAACTCTCAGGTAGACTTGTTATCAACGGACATGATCTAAATTTGATTTGTTAGCAAATTAAAAAGACGTGGCTCGATCAAGTGTTGCAATATGAGGCTGATGAAGTGGCCAGTGATAACACGTTCATATAAATTTTGGCTGATTAAAGACGATCTCATAGATTTCAGTTTATAGGCTAACATTTGATAAGCCATATGATTATGCAGAATAAATTATGCTTGAAAAATTACCCATTAAATAATACTATTTCCCTTTGTGATATGTCTAATAAATAAATGAATTTGAATTTAAATATTACCATATTGCCTAATTCACAGCAGCCTTTATTTCAAATTCGATGACGAGATGACATTATTTAGACGACTGCTGCACCATTGGATTGGCTTTCACTGGATGAATGGTCCACAAAGTTGCCATGTAACCGGGACGCCATCGGTCTGAACCCCGGTGAGCGTGTACTTCAGAAGATTCCCATACTGAGACAAAATGGCTACCCATTACTCCCTGCAGGTTTTCCAATGGTTCTCTAACTAATGTCAGCTCATGATCACATCTCAAATAAATCAAATCCTTAAAAACTAACTCTTGAAATCACTAACATTTCTCAAGGCTGAAGAAGGGATTAAACTGTCTAGCTTAGGAGTCTAAACAAAGATTAGACATGGCTCAAACCTACCAATGCCTTAAATGATAAATTCCTCTTTTAAAATATAACATGTGTCATAGAAAGTAATATGTATGAATACTAAAACGATGAAAAATGCTATAAAGTTGAATTTTCTTCATGTACTTAAAGTAATTTATCATACAGTGAATGTTGAATGTTGAAACGGTCATAACAATTTTTGAATGATGAAACCAAGTCCAAAATCGATAATTCAGACTTAACTATAATCATAATTTTCAAGTATTGGTTTTGTAGGGATTTTGTTTGATTGCATGGAGGATTTCATTATGAGCTGACATCAGTTAGAGAACCACTGGAAAACCTGCAAAGAGTACTGGACTCATCTTCAACCTACTGTACCCTACTGGTCACGGTTCCCATTAAAACCCCAGGTCAGTAACTCATCGAAAAAGACATTGCAAAGTGGTTGTGCTATGTCGTGAATTGGCAGAAGTTAGAATTCATGGGCTGGCCATTTGATCGGGTCCCAGTGGCTCAATGGCCTACGAGCTTGGCTTGTAACCAGAAGGTCCTGGGTTCGAATCCCAGTGGGGTGGGTGCGTACTGATGACTAGTCCCAAACTAGGATGAAACATTTGTTCAGTATTCCCAGGTTTTCCAGTGGTTCTCTAACTGATGTCAGCTCATGATGAAATCCTCCATATAATCATAATATCTTTTTTCTGGACAGTATTCATAAATTTTAATGAATTTTCAGAGGAGTTTATTGCAACATATTTTCCCTTAGTACACTATCTTCAACTAAAATACTAACTGACAGTATATCCTGTGAAACGGTGCTTTCTGAGCTGAAGCGAAACCCATTCCATTTTGATATATCTGCTTTATCTCCTTCAAGAAATCCATGATATCCGGTTGAAAGCCAGTTTTTGGATGTTCAGAAGTACATTTTGAGACCCAAAGACACAAATGAAGAACAGTTATCCCATGTAATGGGACATGTTGCCACCCACATTCAGGCCATTAAAACAAACCAAACGATAGAAAATATATGCAATAGAGAGATGGAAGTTTTCTCAGCCCAAGTTTTAAGCAGACCACCAACAATGGAAAAGAAATGGTTTATGGTTATATAGTGTAAGCGTAGTGAACTGAGGATTTCTGAATTGATTACATAGTCTCCGACAGCGCAGATGTTTTCACGTTAATGCACGTGTTGGTAAATTGATATTATGTTTTATATGATAGAATATGACTCGTAAATTTTCTCAAGTATATATGTATATATATAATTCGAATATTTTCGCTTCATTTAAAAATAAATGTTATTTTTATGGAAGCATAGATTTATTATTAACTGTATCCACACGTCCAACAGTGATATATATATGTATATATACATTTACTGTTCTTTGAAGCTTTTGCATCCACGCCTGTCTTCGCCAGTTGGGAAGAATAAGGAACCAGAAACTTTGATACTGCAATGAGTCAACCTAAAGCTTATCGCCGAAGGAATATGCAGAAGAAAATGGAGGC